CTCCACACACTCATTCTTCGGTGTCAACGCTGTACTTATCTACAACAAAATAATAAAGAGAACCCTGTATGTCAAGAAAAAAATCTTCTTTTCTACATACAAAATGAATTATTATCACATCAGGAGTAACTGATTTTATTTTCCTAGGTACTCTATGTTCAAGAAATGTAAAAGACATGGTGATTTCTTCACAATATTAATATTTTGTGAAACTGAAGTCCCTTTTCCAGGATACACATTTTGTTCCGCTTTTCTTTGAGTAACTACATACATTTCTTGCTCCAGAATTAAAGCTGCAGATGAAGCATTTTCCGGGCTTCTAAAACCCTGTTTCTTGGATCTTGAGTCAATAATAGTTGCTATTTTGGTTACAGTTCTGGTTTCATATGGAAATAGCCCATTTTGAACTGATTCTATTAAACCGTTGCAAAATATTTTTCCCTTCTCTGTTTCCAGGTCCAGATAGCTAACTTGAATGGTTTTTTGTAGCTTCTTCAAAACGTTTCAATACCTTTACCGAATTATTCAAGACAGACAGTTCATCTACGTAAAGGGGCTTTACGCATTTTTAAAAGTGTTCTTTCAATTCGCTCATTGGTTTTAAGTAGGTCTCGGAATCAATCTCGAATAATTCGAGTATTCGAGTATTCGAATATTCAAAAAGCGAATAATTAAGTGTAGTTATAAATTCGAATACTCGAATACTCGAATACACTAACATTATCAAACGGACAAGGTGCAAATATCTTTATATGTAGGTACTCACTTTGTATACTTTTATAAAATAAATGATTCATATTCTACAAGCATTTAAACAGATACCCATATATTTAAGCAAATGAATAGCAAATGAAAGCCCGATACAAGCAAATGAAAATAATAATTTGCTTGTAAATATGCAAATGAATATTAAATTACGTCACTGTGTTCTGGTGATTCACGTCATCAACTTTTGCGCGGTGTTACAATTAATGTGCCGACAAAGGCACTTTTTTATCCGTTGCGGCTAATTGCCAAAAATGATATGAGACAACCATTTTTCTTCTTGCAAAACGGTGAACGGAAAACGAGCACTCGAATATCTAACGAATATTCGAATACTCCAATATTCGAATATTCGAGTATTCGAGATTCGTTAGATATTCGAGTATTCGAATAATTTTACTATTCGAATAAACCACTAAACGAATATTCGAATTTCAGATTTTAAGAAATTCTGAGCCCTCGTTTTAAGGACCCTTCCGATCATGTAAAAGGTGCTATTCCATCTAGTAGGTATCTCTTGAATTAGCTTATACAGTTTGTGTGCACTCTCAATATCATCATTTCCTTGCTGTTTTTTTTTAAGTTTCTGAGTAAATATCAAAATGTTAAAACGAATGACCGAAATAACGTCGAATGCTATGGATAAATTTTGAAAACTGTCGAATTGTTTCGATAGAACAAACTATCGATATTTACCGATAGAGCATCAATAGTTCTCGACCACTACCGGTCAGCAACATTCTCAATATGCGGTAATAAAGCAAATTATTTCTCCGCCCTAGACTCCTCTCACCACCCCAGTGGTTATGCGGTTGGGATGAAGAGCTCTCCTTATTCAATACCTCGTATAGCGGTTGTTAGCAAAAGCATGCTCCAGATGATGCATTTCTTCCTGAAGATTTAAAATTAACATGCCAAAGGCTCTCTAATAAATTTGTAGATTATTGTAAATTGTTTGTGAACTGTGGGTATTGTGAACAGAAACGATAGAAGTGTTACTATCAGTGACTTAAGAAATAGAGAGAATTGAGAGTTTTATAAGATGTGCAGATGTGTAAGGCCAAATTGCACCAAAACTAATAAGATAATTCTTATTCTTTATAAAGACCTTTTGGTCTGTTTATTTTGTCTGGTCAATGTTGTTGATTCTCCTGTGATATGGATGCCCAACTATCCTTCCATCTTTTCGGTGGTCTTCCGATGGGTCTTTTACCAGCTGGATTTCCATTCGACACAATTTTGGCTATTCTTTCGGGATCCATTTTTTCTACATGGTCCTACCAGCATCTTCTGCACTTTTGTCCCCATCTTATTACATCCTTCAACTTGCAGGTCTGTCTTATTGTTGTGCTCCTGACTCTATCCCGTAGTGTTTTTCCCGCATTGACCTTAGAGTTTTCATCTCTGCCGTTCTTAACATACATGTCTCGATGCCGTAGGTGAGTATTGGTATTACGCAGGTTTTGTATATTCGAACTTTACTATCGATGCTCATATGTTTGTTGTTCCGAATGATGGCTTTGTTGATCTGGGATTTGAGATCTTTAATTGGTTCGTTGCGGCTAAAACATCCGCTCCAAGTATCTGAAAGTTGTGACTTGCCCGACAATTTCATTATTTATAACCGGTTTCATACATTTTGTCTTGGATATTGATATTTGCATATTAAATTGTGTGCTGACCTGATTGAACCTGTGAAGTTGTCTTTGCAAATTGTCCTCCGTTTCTGCCAATATTGTCGCGTCATCGCCGTAGCAAATTATGCTAATGGGTTTTTTGTTGATTTTATACCCCATTCTTAAGCCGCTGATCTCTTCAATGATCTCGTCCATTATCAGGGTGAACAGAAACGGGCTTAAGCTATCCCCTTGTCTTATACCCTGCGATATCGGTATGTCATTTGTTGTCTTATGATCAACTTTAAATCGGGTTGAATTGTCTGTGTTTAGGCAGTATACTGTTTTCATAATTCTCGCCGGCGTTCGTTTTTTCTTCAAGATGGTGATAATGTTTTCCAGTCGGACAAGGTCAAATGCTTTTGTTAAATCGATAAAACATGCCAAAGCGGGGGTGTCAAATTCTATTGCTTTTTCTTTTATTTGTCGCATGATAAATAGGGCGTCAGTTGTGGACCTATCAACATATAAGTTCTTCGGAATACCTGCTGTTCGCCTGAATAATTTCATGGAGGAGCATAAAAGAGTTATACCCCTGTACTTTTCAGGGTTGGTTTTTTGTCCTTTTTTTGGAGTCGGGTCTGGTGAAGCACTTGTGCCAATCGTCGGGGATTGTTTGTGAGCTTAATATTCCATTGAAGAGTTGCGTTAGTTTTTTTGTGAGTTCATTACCGCCATACCTTAGAAGTTCTTTGGGTATATTGCCCACACCCAGTGCGTTTTCTATTTTTAAGCTTTTTGTTTTTTACTTCTTCTTCCGTGAATGATATTGGGACCTCTTCTTCTTCTTTTTCTTCTGTCTGCTCAGCTCTCATCTTTGTGTCTTGGCTGCTATCGTACAGGTCATTAAAATATCTTTGCCAGTTGTGCGGTGACAGGCTTTTAGTTTGAAAGCATTCGTTCACAGGCTTTTTTAGATTTTTAAGCAACTTCCATACTTTCCGTTGAGCTCCATATAAATCGTGTTGCGTATTGTTGGTGAATTTTTCCTAGTACTCTCGTTTAATCCTTGGTATGTCTGCGTTCGCGCGGTTTCTAGTCCCTCTGTGTTTGATGAGATTATCGTGCGATTGAGTGCTTTTGTAAAGCAAGTAACTTTTCCGTTTTTTATTGACTAGCTTTTTCACCTCCTCACAGAACCATGGTGTGTTGTGGTTTTGGGTATGCACGTTTTTTCGTGTTTTGCTTTTTTCTAGGGATTCTTCCGCGCCTTTATGGATACACGCTTTTATCCTTTCCCAGTTCTCATTGACATTGCCGTCGGTTATATTTTCGTTTAGTAGTTTGTTGGTGAGTCTCCGCTGGTACAATTCTTTTCTACTTTAATAGTCGAGTGATTCCATGTTGTATATTTGGATATAAAGCGGTTCTCGATTACGTTTCTGATGTTTTTCCAGTGTTTTCTTTCTCAGGACAAAATCATGGTCCGTGCCAAAATTGGATGATGTTAGCACCCTCAGGTCATTGATTTGTTTTCAATGATGGATTTTTGGACTCTTGTATTACAAAAGGTGTATTTATGTTGATCTTTATGTTGGAAAAAGGTGTTATTTATTTTTAGCTCATTTCTGGCGCAAAAATCGATTAGGGACTCGCCTTTCTCATGGAGGGTTGGTTCGTTAAACTTCTGTTTTACACCTGGAATTTCGACTGCGCCAATTCGAGCATTAAAGTCGCCGAGTAGTATTAACCTTTCGCTGTTGGTATTTCGTCTATAGTGGTTTGTAGGGAGTTATAAAAGCTTTCAGAGTTTTTTTTTTTGGCTTGGATATATCGGGCGCATAGATGCTAATTAGATATAGTGGACCCTCGGGAAATGCCAGGTTGATTCTTAGGATCCTATCATTTACAGATTCCATGTTTTCAATAAAGTCAGAGTTTGTATGATATATATATATTTTTTATCATATATAAGAATACCCACACCTGAGTTGGCGCGGTCTTGCTTTGGTTTTGCACTGTAGGCAAAGATGTAATCTTGGTATTTGATGATTCCCTTTCCGTTTCGTTTGGTCCCAGATATTCCACATGTCTATTGTATGCTTCTCCATTTCCATAATCATCTCCTGATCTCTACCATTCCAAGAGGTGATATTCCAACAGGCAAATCTAGTGGGAATAATTTTTTGTTTTTGCATTGTCCTTGTCTTTGTTCCCGCTTGGGTCGTCATTGAAATCCGTCCATTATCCGAAACTTGACCCTTGTTTCTGTGAGCTATGATTGTTTTCTGCCCTAGGCAGGTAGCTAGCCTAACCTTTCCACACTTTATCCGGGTCTGGGACCGACAACAACTGTGACGAAACTAATCAGTTCCTCCGTCCCAGCTGCAGGCATTGTTAATAATAAAATAATTCTAACGAACCAATTTGTAGTTAAATAAAATTTTTACTAGAATTTTTCCTAGAACATCTAGTAAGTATGGGTTTCTCGATCTAGTTGGACGTATTGAATATAGAAATAGTTATTAAGTAGTTTTTGATCAATTAGATTAAGTTAGTATTCAATTACAGTTCGATAATGTTCTCCATTCATTTTTAACATTTTGTTCTTGTTTTCAGATAATGAGCGAGTACGAACAGATTCGCAAGATGTGTCTGAAACGAGGAGAGTTATGGGAGGACCCGGACTTTCCGGCCAATCAAGCTTCCGTATTTTATCACCAGACCCCGCCATTTCAGTTCACCTGGAAAAGACCTAAAGTATGAAATATATTTAGTTACTTATGAGATGATAGGGCCATTCCTCAATTAATACTAGTTAATGTGTACAAACGTGTCCATTAACCATTAACTTCAATACAACGTTCCACTCGACTCTACCACTGTTCTTTAACGGATGTTAATCAGTAAATTGGTTTTTGTGGTACTGTTTCTGTGCTAATTGAACTTATCGGTGGGATTATATGCGAGGTGAAAGATAAGCATCTTATAAACCCCTCACGAAGAAATTGTAAGTGGTTTTGCCTGGCAAGTACTGCGAGCTAATTTGTAATCACTCGAAAGTTCACTGAAAGTTCGTTTTTCTCCTGCGCATTTTCCATACACCACGCAATTCACGCAAATTACCAGCATATCTTGATTGTGGTTGAGGAATTTTTATAAAACTTCTAGGCGTTCCATAATTGTATTGAGCGGCTTTATCAACATCCACCATAATTTCCTCCTCAGTGGGGCAATATGTAACATTTTTAAGCGTTTTATACTTATATATCTGGGCTCGATAATTCTTTGCCCCTGCTTCTCGGGTCATCTTCATCTGAACATCGGTCATCATCTCGTAACTGCTGCAAACTTTGAAATCGTCATATAACGATCGAGCTGGAGTCCTTTATTGTCCCTAACCGATTTTCTTATTGGTTCTTCTTGATGTACTTTGGCTTGCACCTTGTCAACTGCTTCTCCACTTGAATGCCACGGTTCTCGACCACTACCGTGCTTCTAGAGTATTATTGTTCGAAAAATTATACTCTACTTCTGAGTTTCCATCCGCACTGACATGATTGTGGTGTACCAATACTGCATCGCGACTTATCTCTAGTGCTTATGTTGCCGCATTAATAAATCTATAACCTTTTAATTCTTCAGATTAGCCAATAAAAATATATTCTTATGATTTTGCATCTAAGTTTTTTTGGTGTTCCTTCGGCACATGTAAATCATAAAAATATCATTCAAGTCAGTTTATGTACTATCACGGTAAAAGAATTGAGTAGGTGTTTCGGCAACTATCCATCGCTGAGTGTTCGACCCTTGCTGCGAAAGCTAGTGGCGCTCAAACGAACTCACCCTTCGGGCTTTACACACGACCGCCCGAAATACCCGCTCAAGGGAAACCCTTCCTCTCTCTATCTCTCTCTCTATCTCTGTCTCTTTTGAATTGTCGTTAAAAATAATTGTTCATAATCATTGTCATTTAAATCATTGTCTTAATTAAATAGTTTTCATTAAAGATTGATTTTTATTTTTCTCTGACTGCAATTTGTCGTGTTGCAGCCTTATCTTTATTCTTTGTCCACGTAGCTAATGCTGTGATTTCTGCTTGAGTCGGCTTTTCTTTAGCAATTACTTCCCATACGCCTTCGTCGATTAGCATAAGCTCCATCTTGTAACTCCAAACGGCATAGTTGTCACCGTTGACCTTCTGGATGTAGGACCGTTATCCGAAGCTTTTTGCCATTTTTCCTTATGACGAAAATTGCGAACTTTAACTTTCACTATACTCCACAAAACACTTGTACTGTTGACTTGACTGTAATCTTTATGTCTTTTTATCGTGCACCGATTCCTGGGCCCATAACTTGTTGGTTAATTTAGGAATATGTATACTTTCATTTTATATGAACTTTATTCAATATACAGGGTGATTCAAAATTGGCGTCATTCCTTTTAAGGGGTGATAGAGGCTCCTTTGGGGAGTACCAAAAAAATACTGGCAAAATAATTTGGAAGATATTAACAGTTGAAGATCGAATTTCAACTTTGTTATTAAGCATTATTTTGAAAAAATCCCACGTTGGATTGGAAGCCTATTGGAATATTTGAGCATTCAAAAAGAAAAATTACCATCTTGGCTTCAAATTACAAAAAATTTTGATATCAAAAAAGTTCCCTTCTACAATTTTTTGATGAAAAGGCGGCAATGATGTTTTTTGTAATTAATAGATAGTTACAGGTGGATAGCCCTTGTCAATCATAACAATAAATTGTCAAACTGTGACTTACTTTGAATTTCCTTTCACGAATTTGCTGATATGCTGATATGCTGATTAGTTCAGGGGAAATGCTACAGTAACATAGCAGAAGCTGAAAGAACTCACGCCAACAAAGGGCGAGGAGAGTGGTTCCGGGAAGATAGTGGACGACAATTGATGTTCGGGTTCCAGGCACAGAGGAACATTGAACATAATCGAATCTAGTATACAGGGTTGCTCATTAGTGCGCCAAAGTGCGATATCTCAGTAAATATGAAGTTTACAAGAAAATTCGTCCAACGAAAGTTTTTCACGTTTAAAAGGTCCACATTCTAAAATTACTTT